AAAACGGATGACGTCATTGCTAAGCAACAAATTGGCGAATCAGAAAGAGTTAAGATTACTCACTTAATTAGAGAAGCCTCGATATAGTGTTCATTACATAAATCTCCAACCAGTTAAAAGCTATGACAAACGACAGCAAATTCGTTCCTTTCAGGCAGTTATAACTCTTCAAGTTCAGCTAAGTTCACGACCACGTGAAATTACTCCTTTTGACGTCGTCGACGTAGAGACGACGACGAAATTCTCAGGTCGCGCTTGTGCACTGATGTTCGTCTTACCTCCGGCCGTCGTCGTGGTTGTTTAAGCTCCCTGTTAAGCAAACTACGACGACGACGGCGGCAACGAGAACGCAACCAAACTTAAGGTTTTACGAGTAAAACGATGGCTGTGCACGTCCGTAATAAATCTTTATGCATTTCTATGCTGTCCTCCGCAAAACAACGTGAAATGACCAAGTTCTGCGCAGCCTGGGGAACGCGAACGACGGCGGCTAATCCATGTTTAGCCCGAGTACGTGTTTGGAGCCACTGGCGTACTCAAAAGATCTAGACAGCTGCGAAATTGCAAGGTAATATACATACATTATGTAAATTATTCATTTTTCAACTAGGCGTCGTGCTCGGCGTAGCCGTCGTCGTTGGCTCCCCTCTAAGGGTGAGGGTCGTTTGTATGTGAATGTGAGTGAGTGTAAGTGTGTATATAGTAGAGTGGAGCTATACCACTTTAAAATCTCTATTTGGCAAGGGGAAGGATTTGAGGATTTGTAACAGACAGAGAAGAATAAATGTTTCATGAACACTTGCATTTACAGCATTTAATTCCAGTAAATAAGCGACTGAAGTTCAATATTTACAAAATAACATGGCTTAAACTCTTGAAATGAACGAGTATTTATATGCCTCCGAGATCTGAAAAAAAAAAACTACTCTACCGTCTAAGATATTCTGTACTGTACATTCCGTCACAGATTAACTGTAATAATTAACAAAATTTTAGGTTTCTTTTTCCCTCCCTGTGTCTCATCCTACTTTAAATCTGTACATATTAAGAGACATACACTCTTATTCTCGAGCTACACTAACAACTCTCAACAACCACTCCTCGCAGATTTTGCTGAAAACTGGAATGTCATCGCTTTAGGGTCCAATCTCTTTCTAGACCTTGTTACAAGTATACACGTGTGTACAGGTAGGTGGCTTGTACTTAAATAAATAGTAGTTTTGTTGTCATTATTCAAAAGCCGAGCAATTCTATCTTCGTTAAGCCACGGTGAGAGATCTAATTTTAATTAAACCTAGTGCACATAAGCAAAAACAAAAACGTTTGCTCATTCGTTAGCGTTCCGCTCATGTGAAAGGTGACGTTCCATCATGGCCTTAGTCGTTCAAAAAATATCATTTGCTGGATTTGCCTTAATAAACGCAAATATGGTGGATAGTTATGGACTAACCATAATGACAAGAGCAACGTTCCAGTCACAAGAACACTTTCAATCCGCCATATTGCCACACCAAGGTCACTTCAGAGCGGCCTCGTACATTGTTCAAAGTGAAGATAATTGAAACTCTCGTAGCTAGTAAGGTAATACAAAATACATGCCAGATTTGAACAGAATCTCTTAGATGCTGCGACTGGCCACAACTCGAATCTTGGACTAAGGCTTGTATTCTACAATATTTACGACTTGAAATTTTGATCAAAATGATTTAATCCTTTAAATCAACCTTTGTCTCCAGCGCTAACCAAGAATGTTCAGGAAGCTCTTTCACTCAACGAAGGCGCTCTCTTGGCAGGACGACTGCGTTCCCGTTATCTGCTGACATACTTCTTTGAGCCTGTCAAGACAAACTTTCCGTCTCTCCTTGTGGTCACAGAGACGCTCTGGGTAATCTACACCGACAATGCAGTTACTTGCCTTCTGCAAAGCTATGGGTGCCAGCCACGGTTCATGGATGTACTTCGTGGGCATAGTCTTGAGCTCTGGTACATATCTCCTGAAAGATCAATGTTAAACAACGTGTTATAAATAAACTAACGTGAGAATGCAGTATCCTATAGGAGATATCTATAGTTTCTGAAAGTTAAAATCACGAGAGGGAACTGGATCATCACGCTTTGAACTGATCTTTTCATGTAATAAATATTTGTTAAAGATCACGCATAGGAATCGATCGCAATTTGTTTAATTGTTTTAATGTAAATCTACTAGTCGTTCAAGGCTGTATTTAAGTCGAAAACTCAAGGGCCTTCAATGTCCAATCTTTCTGCTTAACTTTTAGCGCGAAAGTTCGCGCCACGGTCTGCTAAACTTCAAATGTTTGATGACCAATCATGCCACGTTTGACACCCAATTAGAGCTTTACATCACGTGTTCACGCTTAGGCCACTTAAAACTAATTACATAACAAATATTTCAGAAACTGTAAAATAGTACATGTTAACAAAGTTCGATTCTTAAGCTTCAGCATATTAAGCACAATTCTAGACTCAGATATTACAAACTTATCAAGTTACATCAACGTGCACATTATAATCGTTATGTATGTTTCTTAAGTGCCTAAATTCGACAGAACATCACTCTAAAAACACCACCATACACAGTCATTAACTACAATAAGCCTTTATAGGAGCAGTTGTTTACATTCAAATGTTTACAATAGAATTTACCGAATAAAATTTCCGGATGGGTCAAGTTTCTTGCCAACATTAACCGGACAGTACCATGGAATCTGTCCATGAAAGAATGCACTGCAAGACACCCACAGCCAGTTACCAGCATTCAGGCTCCACTCTGAATCCAACTGTAGCTCCTCAAACAACTGAAACAGATTTTAGTTAACAGTTAAAAGAACTCATTTTACAGACCTGTCATATGCAGAAAGTGAGTACTATGTTATCCTGTACTCACCTTTGAAACAAATGCAAAATATATTTCTCTTACATAAATAACACTCTTTGTATTTAGTTATCAATCCGTTTGAAGAAACATCATGGTACTGCCACGCCGCATGACAGACCCTGCCGTGCTAAGTAGTTGTGCCGAATTTAATCCATCCTGCCGAACTGAGTGGTTGTAAACGTCGTTCTACTGTCGCAATCAAGTCGAATTCAATTCTTAAATTTAGTTCGGTACGGCAGTAGCACGACGATTGGAATACTCAGGCTGTACGCTTAAGAACCATAGAAGGTTAACATCCACTGGAACACTGCAAGCATGTACAAGATGCAAGGAGATTCACTAACAGTCCAACTGAATGGCTCTTCCTGTGCAACTTTGCAGAACAATGTTTCCATTTCACATGACACTTTGCGCAAGGGTCTTGCAACTTGAATGTAAACAAGTCGCCAAGTTCCATCCTCAGTGTGTTGATGAGTTCAACTCATTACTACTTCTAGCATTGTGTCAACAAACAGTGTACCGACTCAAATAGAACTTGGCAACTTACCCAAGCAAGTAACATTTGCCTGTAATGTGCCATCAACAAACTGGGATAAACAAGACTCTCTCACCTTGAAACCCTCTTCCCAGCTGATCCAAAGACATCCCCTGGTCAAGAAACATCCAATTGCTTGGCGAGCCACATGGTGAATCCAGCCTTCAGTATGCAATTGCCGCACTATTGCATCAATCCAAGGGAAGCCTGTCAAGCCCTAAATTAGAGAAAAGTTGTAGAAACCTTTCAGACTCAAGAACAAAGACCAATAATATTAAATACATCTACTTGATAATTATATTGACGGTAATCATGACATCTACGTCATAGCACTTGCTGATTACCGTGAAGCACATTTCGTATCAGACATATAAGAAGTTTAAGACAATATATACCAAACACAAGACCCTGTTTTACTGTGTTTCCAAATGCCAAAAGAGTTGAAGAATACAACACACAGCACAGTATTTTTGAAAAATGTTGGGATGTTTGGTTTGAGAAGATACAAATATATCAAACACTACAAATATTGTTTCCAGACGTTTTCAAACATCAAAAGTTTGTCTCACTAACTCTGCTTTCTTCCTGATGTTTAGAAATGTGATGAACCACCTTCTAATGTTTGACGCAATGCTTTACATCAAGACAATATCTCTTTAAAATACACGTATATTATTAATATACACATAGGAACTATGATATTGACTTCCAAATGAACAGTTGAAAGTAAGCTGGTGCAGAAGTTACCACTGCACTGTACTTAGGCTACTATATGGTCTTGTCAGACAGGTTCAGTTACATGTACAGGGTGCTGTTAGTAGCTGCATACCTTTTTCCATGCCTCAAGGGCCTTCTCATTATTCTCCCATGTAATGTTCAGAGAAAGAGGATTGTCAACTGCTTTGTCCATGTTGGGATTCTGACTGGCAAGGGTAAAAAAAAATTCTCTCCAAACCAACTGCCTGTAGAGCGACAGTGGTGGGGGCTGGCACTTAACCTGAAAAAACAAAACGACAGACGGTAAATCCCATACAAAACATGTATTACTCACTTAATTAACATCACCTCCCTCTACAATATCTGTGGCAAAAAAAACTGCTTTTTAAACTTTCTAAAGATCACTTCCACCAATGTGAATAATTATGCATTTGTTGCCTGTATTATAGACACAATGCATTTACTCTGTATCACAATTATTCGCTAGATGTTCCCAGATCGTGTATGTTTTTTATTTGTATGCCACCATTGAGCCACAATTACTAAAAGCAACCTAACAGCACATACTTAAGCTCTTCAATAGTACTCTTTCTTTTAGGTAGTTAGCACGATTGTTTTAAATTTTTGGCACTTGGGAACAGCACATTTCAGACTTACTTTCATATATGCTTTGGTTAATCGCATGTGGAAAAGCCTTGGAGACAGGCAACCAAATCGAAGGTAAGGACTCAGCTGCGTCCTTGATGGCTGCAATGCATCTAGTCCTTCTACTGATTTCTTCAAATTCCCTATGAGGACCTTGATAATAGTAGCAAAGAGATAAACAAGTTATCACAGTTGCTTAGACAGTTTAGTCCAAATATGAGTATTAAATACCAGAAAACCTGTCCTCTGATCTGAAGAACAATCAGGTTCTTTAACAATTTGGTAGTAAATACCGGTACATATACATCACTATCAGCACAACATCAAATGTGATACTGTCACAACAAGCCGTAACTGGTTTAACTATTCCCTTTTTCATTCCCAGTCTAGTTCAGCAACATGGCGTTCAGCCCTTTTCCCAATATTTTCTTTTTCTAAAATAAATGAATCAATTTCCCAGAAGCCAATCAATTCTCAGACTTTTCCTCTAACTGTGGAATGGAACAGGAAGCATCAAACAATATGGCCGCAAGAGTTACCAATAAAAGGCTACATGTAGGTCTCAAGCAATACTGTGATGAAACAAATAGTTCTCAGGAACCAGTAAAACTCCTTGCAATTCCCATGAATTAATGTCAATATTGAAGCCTCACCTTTTCCTCAAGTTCAGTCAATCTTTTGATAGCCTCCCGCTCTCCACCAACCCACATTTCACCTGAAGTGACGTCACTCTCTTGAAAACCAAGCTCATTAAGGTGTGGAACACCAAATTTTGAGTTGTAATCACTGGACACTGGGCAAATGCATCCCTTGAACATTTCCTTGTTGACTGCATCTACAGGCTTTTCTGGAGGACCCATTTGCCTAACAACATTTTCAAATGTTTTAATCACCAAAGGTGCCTCCCCACCATTACTCTCAATAATTTTTTCTGGGTCATACAAAGTATGTGATGGTTTGGAAATCACTTCCACTCCATGTTCTTCTCCAAGGACTGCAACAGCCACATCTCTCCGTTGCCCAAATGGCTCAGTTTCGCATTCAAATGTCAGCTTGGAAACATTCCATTCTTGAAAAAGTTTCGGCAAAACATATGTTGGCTGTCCACGAATAACATGAAGCCTCGAGCCACACTCACGAAGACTCTTGTCGAGATCAGTTAAGCAGTCCAAGAGAAATTTCCAGCGATTAGCAGAAACATTGGCCGCTCTTGCACTCACTGGGTCAATGATGTAGACAGCATGAAATGTTCTACAGTTTACTAGTGCCTCACATAGAGAAGGATTGTCATGAAGCCTTAAATCCTTTCTGAACCAATGCATGGCATTGTGGCCCAGTCCCACATTAGAAGAAACTGCAAACAGAAGATGAGAGATGGTGAGTTTATTTAGTCTGTGCACAGTAGTGGTGGAAGTGAAATGTGTGCATACATGGACAACCCTTACAAAACTCACCCTTGCTCACAAGATTTTGATAAACTCCTCTCAGCCTATGAACACAATCTTGTCGTGCTTCCTGATGATTGATGACAGGCTGTGGATAATCAGCACCCACAATACAGTTGGCTGTCTTTTGTACTTCCAGTGGTGCTCTCCATGGTTCATATATAAATTCAGATGGAAAATCTTTCAACTCAGGGACATATTTCCTGGGAAAGAGGGAAAATAAAAGTTTGGATACTTGTTCGAGATAGACAAAAACATAAGTATATAATGCAAACTAACCAACAAAAAAAAAAAACAACTGAGTATCAAGGTTCAGCTACTGCACTGATCAGTTCTCAGCATGCTACAAAATTAGACCTTGACCTCAGCCAACAAAAGCTGCCTGTTTCCCTTCCAGTATGGTCAACAGTGCTGGTCAAAGGTATTTACCCATTGGCACACAGCAACCCTTGTCCTTACTGAAGGGTTCTGCTATAGAGGAATTCCATAAAACAAAACAAGCACTACAAAGCAACTCTACCACAGTGGAGCTCATATACTCAGATCAAGCAGGGAACAGTGAGATCAAAGTTGAGTGAAGACATCACTGGTCGAGCAACTGAAAAGTGCCAGGTTGGATGAATGGTGCCAATTAAAAGCACTTCTGTTAGTTACTGAAAAATTTTTACAAATACAGATAAAAAATATACTGTTACAGTGCATTTACTGAAACCAGGCCAACCAGACAATGAAAACCAATCAGATGGCAGAACTGAAACAATAGATTCCAACACTTTTAAATCCAGTCAATCAAATGCCTGGTACAGAACAAAGAAATCTCAACTTGCTCAAAGTGTGGCTTACGTGTCAAGCCCAAACTGTTAGTACTTTTGCGTGCTTGAATTGAATTATAGGCTGCACTTTCCATGGGGTAGTTGGTTGGTTTAGAAATCCTTTTAATGCCGCACAAACAATCATGCCCTTGGGGCATCAAATATTCTCACCAAGGTGCAAAGAATGAAAAAACATTTGCTATTGTTGTTAATGCACATGAAACCAAAAGCAACAATAGCCTATTCAAACTCTAACATGTCTCACCATTAACAGTGGCATCCCTCACCCTGACAAACCTAGGTAAAAACCTGGGTAAAATTTTGGCACGCCACATATATTGTAGCGATGGCCATCAATCTGCAAATCAACCCATGCAAATGGGGCCTTGTGGGTAACTACTTTTGACCAGTACTGAATACCATTTATTGGCATGTGTTTACCTCACAAAGTTGCCTTGTGGGTCTAAATGTTCTCCTAAGCCAACTGGACACATCCACTGAGGATGCTTTGCAAAAAATGCACTGCAAGACAACCACATCCAGTTTCCAGCATTGATACACCACTCTGCATCCAGCAAGAACTTCTCGAATATCTGAAACAGACATCAACTTCAATGTAACATCTACAACATGACATGAACGATGAATTTAGCCATCATTTTACTTGCACAATTAATTAAGCTATTTCCCAGAAAGGCTGACTTATTTCCTTTGAACACACATATCCTTGCTATGATAATTGACAGGCTTCGTGCAAAAAGGGCGTATGTGACATTNATAAATATTTGTTAAAGATCACGCATAGGAATCGATCGCAATTTGTTTAATTGTTTTAATGTAAATCTACTAGTCGTTCAAGGCTGTATTTAAGTCGAAAACTCAAGGGCCTTCAATGTCCAATCTTTCTGCTTAACTTTTAGCGCGAAAGTTCGCGCCACGGTCTGCTAAACTTCAAATGTTTGATGACCAATCATGCCACGTTTGACACCCAATTAGAGCTTTACATCACGTGTTCACGCTTAGGCCACTTAAAACTAATTACATAACAAATATTTCAGAAACTGTAAAATAGTACATGTTAACAAAGTTCGATTCTTAAGCTTCAGCATATTAAGCACAATTCTAGACTCAGATATTACAAACTTATCAAGTTACATCAACGTGCACATTATAATCGTTATGTATGTTTCTTAAGTGCCTAAATTCGACAGAACATCACTCTAAAAACACCACCATACACAGTCATTAACTACAATAAGCCTTTATAGGAGCAGTTGTTTACATTCAAATGTTTACAATAGAATTTACCGAATAAAATTTCCGGATGGGTCAAGTTTCTTGCCAACATTAACCGGACAGTACCATGGAATCTGTCCATGAAAGAATGCACTGCAAGACACCCACAGCCAGTTACCAGCATTCAGGCTCCACTCTGAATCCAACTGTAGCTCCTCAAACAACTGAAACAGATTTTAGTTAACAGTTAAAAGAACTCATTTTACAGACCTGTCATATGCAGAAAGTGAGTACTATGTTATCCTGTACTCACCTTTGAAACAAATGCAAAATATATTTCTCTTACATAAATAACACTCTTTGTATTTAGTTATCAATCCGTTTGAAGAAACATCATGGTACTGCCACGCCGCATGACAGACCCTGCCGTGCTAAGTAGTTGTGCCGAATTTAATCCATCCTGCCGAACTGAGTGGTTGTAAACGTCGTTCTACTGTCGCAATCAAGTCGAATTCAATTCTTAAATTTAGTTCGGTACGGCAGTAGCACGACGATTGGAATACTCAGGCTGTACGCTTAAGAACCATAGAAGGTTAACATCCACTGGAACACTGCAAGCATGTACAAGATGCAAGGAGATTCACTAACAGTCCAACTGAATGGCTCTTCCTGTGCAACTTTGCAGAACAATGTTTCCATTTCACATGACACTTTGCGCAAGGGTCTTGCAACTTGAATGTAAACAAGTCGCCAAGTTCCATCCTCAGTGTGTTGATGAGTTCAACTCATTACTACTTCTAGCATTGTGTCAACAAACAGTGTACCGACTCAAATAGAACTTGGCAACTTACCCAAGCAAGTAACATTTGCCTGTAATGTGCCATCAACAAACTGGGATAAACAAGACTCTCTCACCTTGAAACCCTCTTCCCAGCTGATCCAAAGACATCCCCTGGTCAAGAAACATCCAATTGCTTGGCGAGCCACATGGTGAATCCAGCCTTCAGTATGCAATTGCCGCACTATTGCATCAATCCAAGGGAAGCCTGTCAAGCCCTAAATTAGAGAAAAGTTGTAGAAACCTTTCAGACTCAAGAACAAAGACCAATAATATTAAATACATCTACTTGATAATTATATTGACGGTAATCATGACATCTACGTCATAGCACTTGCTGATTACCGTGAAGCACATTTCGTATCAGACATATAAGAAGTTTAAGACAATATATACCAAACACAAGACCCTGTTTTACTGTGTTTCCAAATGCCAAGAGAGTTGAAGAATACAACACACAGCACAGTATTTTTGAAAAATGTTGGGATGTTTGGTTTGAGAAGATACAAATATATCAAACACTACAAATATTGTTTCCAGACGTTTTCAAACATCAAAAGTTTGTCTCACTAACTCTGCTTTCTTCCTGATGTTTAGAAATGTGATGAACCACCTTCTAATGTTTGACGCAATGCTTTACATCAAGACAATATCTCTTTAAAATACATGTATATTATTAATATACACATAGGAACTATGATATTGACTTCCAAATGAACAGTTGAAAGTAAGCTGGTGCAGAAGTTACCACTGCACTGTACTTAGGCTACTATATGGTCTTGTCAGACAGGTTCAGTTACATGTACAGGGTGCTGTTAGTAGCTGCATACCTTTTTCCATGCCTCAAGGGCCTTCTCATTATTCTCCCATGTAATGTTCAGAGAAAGAGGATTGTCAACTGCTTTGTCCATGTTGGGATTCTGACTGGCAAGGGTAAAAAAAAATTCTCTCCAAACCAACTGCCTGTAGAGCGACAGTGGTGGGGGCTGGCACTTAACCTGAAAAAACAAAACGACAGACGGTAAATCCCATACAAAACATGTATTACTCACTTAATTAACATCACCTCCCTCTACAATATCTGTGGCAAAAAAAACTGCTTTTTAAACTTTCTAAAGATCACTTCCACCAATGTGAATAATTATGCATTTGTTGCCTGTATTATAGACACAATGCATTTACTCTGTATCACAATTATTCGCTAGATGTTCCCAGATCGTGTATGTTTTTTATTTGTATGCCACCATTGAGCCACAATTACTAAAAGCAACCTAACAGCACATACTTAAGCTCTTCAATAGTACTCTTTCTTTTAGGTAGTTAGCACGATTGTTTTAAATTTTTGGCACTTGGGAACAGCACATTTCAGACTTACTTTCATATATGCTTTGGTTAATCGCATGTGGAAAAGCCTTGGAGACAGGCAACCAAATCGAAGGTAAGGACTCAGCTGCGTCCTTGATGGCTGCAATGCATCTAGTCCTTCTACTGATTTCTTCAAATTCCCTATGAGGACCTTGATAATAGTAGCAAAGAGATAAACAAGTTATCACAGTTGCTTAGACAGTTTAGTCCAAATATGAGTATTAAATACCAGAAAACCTGTCCTCTGATCTGAAGAACAATCAGGTTCTTTAACAATTTGGTAGTAAATACCGGTACATATACATCACTATCAGCACAACATCAAATGTGATACTGTCACAACAAGCCGTAACTGGTTTAACTATTCCCTTTTTCATTCCCAGTCTAGTTCAGCAACATGGCGTTCAGCCCTTTTCCCAATATTTTCTTTTTCTAAAATAAATGAATCAATTTCCCAGAAGCCAATCAATTCTCAGACTTTTCCTCTAACTGTGGAATGGAACAGGAAGCATCAAACAATATGGCCGCAAGAGTTACCAATAAAAGGCTACATGTAGGTCTCAAGCAATACTGTGATGAAACAAATAGTTCTCAGGAACCAGTAAAACTCCTTGCAATTCCCATGAATTAATGTCAATATTGAAGCCTCACCTTTTCCTCAAGTTCAGTCAATCTTTTGATAGCCTCCCGCTCTCCACCAACCCACATTTCACCTGAAGTGACGTCACTCTCTTGAAAACCAAGCTCATTAAGGTGTGGAACACCAAATTTTGAGTTGTAATCACTGGACACTGGGCAAATGCATCCCTTGAACATTTCCTTGTTGACTGCATCTACAGGCTTTTCTGGAGGACCCATTTGCCTAACAACATTTTCAAATGTTTTAATCACCAAAGGTGCCTCCCCACCATTACTCTCAATAATTTTTTCTGGGTCATACAAAGTATGTGATGGTTTGGAAATCACTTCCACTCCATGTTCTTCTCCAAGGACTGCAACAGCCACATCTCTCCGTTGCCCAAATGGCTCAGTTTCGCATTCAAATGTCAGCTTGGAAACATTCCATTCTTGAAAAAGTTTCGGCAAAACATATGTTGGCTGTCCACGAATAACATGAAGCCTCGAGCCACACTCACGAAGACTCTTGTCGAGATCAGTTAAGCAGTCCAAGAGAAATTTCCAGCGATTAGCAGAAACATTGGCCGCTCTTGCACTCACTGGGTCAATGATGTAGACAGCATGAAATGTTCTACAGTTTACTAGTGCCTCACATAGAGAAGGATTGTCATGAAGCCTTAAATCCTTTCTGAACCAATGCATGGCATTGTGGCCCAGTCCCACATTAGAAGAAACTGCAAACAGAAGATGAGAGATGGTGAGTTTATTTAGTCTGTGCACAGTAGTGGTGGAAGTGAAATGTGTGCATACATGGACAACCCTTACAAAACTCACCCTTGCTCACAAGATTTTGATAAACTCCTCTCAGCCTATGAACACAATCTTGTCGTGCTTCCTGATGATTGATGACAGGCTGTGGATAATCAGCACCCACAATACAGTTGGCTGTCTTTTGTACTTCCAGTGGTGCTCTCCATGGTTCATATATAAATTCAGATGGAAAATCTTTCAACTCAGGGACATATTTCCTGGGAAAGAGGGAAAATAAAAGTTTGGATACTTGTTCGAGATAGACAAAAACATAAGTATATAATGCAAACTAACCAACAAAAAAAAAAAACAACTGAGTATCAAGGTTCAGCTACTGCACTGATCAGTTCTCAGCATGCTACAAAATTAGACCTTGACCTCAGCCAACAAAAGCTGCCTGTTTCCCTTCCAGTATGGTCAACAGTGCTGGTCAAAGGTATTTACCCATTGGCACACAGCAACCCTTGTCCTTACTGAAGGGTTCTGCTATAGAGGAATTCCATAAAACAAAACAAGCACTACAAAGCAACTCTACCACAGTGGAGCTCATATACTCAGATCAAGCAGGGAACAGTGAGATCAAAGTTGAGTGAAGACATCACTGGTCGAGCAACTGAAAAGTGCCAGGTTGGATGAATGGTGCCAATTAAAAGCACTTCTGTTAGTTACTGAAAAATTTTTACAAATACAGATAAAAAATATACTGTTACAGTGCATTTACTGAAACCAGGCCAACCAGACAATGAAAACCAATCAGATGGCAGAACTGAAACAATAGATTCCAACACTTTTAAATCCAGTCAATCAAATGCCTGGTACAGAACAAAGAAATCTCAACTTGCTCAAAGTGTGGCTTACGTGTCAAGCCCAAACTGTTAGTACTTTTGCGTGCTTGAATTGAATTATAGGCTGCACTTTCCATGGGGTAGTTGGTTGGTTTAGAAATCCTTTTAATGCCGCACAAACAATCATGCCCTTGGGGCATCAAATATTCTCACCAAGGTGCAAAGAATGAAAAAACATTTGCTATTGTTGTTAATGCACATGAAACCAAAAGCAACAATAGCCTATTCAAAATCTAACATGTCTCACCATTAACAGTGGCATCCCTCACCCTGACAAACCTAGGTAAAAACCTGGGTAAAATTTTGGCACGCCACATATATTGTAGCGATGGCCATCAATCTGCAAATCAACCCATGCAAATGGGGCCTTGTGGGTAACTACTTTTGACCAGTACTGAATACCATTTATTGGCATGTGTTTACCTCACAAAGTTGCCTTGTGGGTCTAAATGTTCTCCTAAGCCAACTGGACACATCCACTGAGGATGCTTTGCAAAAAATGCACTGCAAGACAACCACATCCAGTTTCCAGCATTGATACACCACTCTGCATCCAGCAAGAACTTCTCGAATATCTGAAACAGACATCAACTTCAATGTAACATCTACAACATGACATGAACGATGAATTTAGCCATCATTTTACTTGCACAATTAATTAAGCTATTTCCCAGAAAGGCTGACTTATTTCCTTTGAACACACATATCCTTGCTATGATAATTGACAGGCTTCGTGCAAAAAGGGCGTATGTGACATTCTGGGCCGACTTTTATTTTTTGCAGGATTGAGCTAAGTTTTGGCAGACTGACTTGTTTTGACATGAACAGCATTGTCGCATAATTGTTTTTGTTGATTTGCACTTCGTTTTCGAGAAATAACGTATGCAAAAACACTCAGTTTTCTGAGCGGCATCTTTTGGAGCGAATCCTTCCAAGGTGGATTTTGACATGGCACAAACTTAAACAGTTACTTTCAGCAGCTTCAACAGCACAGTTTTTCTTTAAATAAATGTTTTGATTTTTGAAAGAAGCAGAGAAATAGACCGGAAAAAAAAATTGACCGACCTTATATCGAATTGGTGTCACGACAAAACAAACTCGCATCTGGCCAGTTCAGCGCCTTATTCGCTTGCGCTAAACTAAGCAACAGTAAGAGAATTGCGTAATTATATGAATAATAAAACTAGCGGCAAATATCATGCTTCGGTGACTTCATCGTTTAGCAAAACAAAGGTTTCTTTTGTTTTTCGCTCAACAAAAGATCTCCATAAGATACCCTTAGAAACCTGAGTTTTTTTGCATACGTTATTTCTCAAAAACAAAGTGCAAATCAACAAAAACAATTACACAACGATGCTTTTCATGTCAAAACAAGTCAGTCTGCCAAAAAATAGCTCGATCCTGCAAAAAATAAAAATCAGCCCAAAACGTCACATACGCCCTTTTTGCACGAAACCCTTCAACTGGAATAGCTCAGACTGTAAATTTCTTACACTCTTCAGGATCACAAAACCACAATTCAGGGCACGCAGCAACCCTTACTCCAAATGTTATATTTTCCCTCCAAACCGGTTTAATTCTGTAATCCTTTCTGCTTGTCGTGGGGTAATGCTGCTTTCTGGTTACTAAAATGCATGTTTGCTGATTACAAAGTATGGGAGACAGAATATCAGGTCTTATTGTTTACCACAGCATCTCTTGCAGCAAGAAACCTGGGAAAAACCTGCCACACAGCCTCATTGCTGGGCTTAGAAAAGCACATCAATATGTGTTATGAACCATCCTGACCACCACACCACTGGCAAATGGGTAACAACTTTTTAGTATTCCTATAAATCTAGAGGCGTTCACTAACATTTACCCCTGTAAGCCAGTTATAAACTCTCTGAAGATATCAAGGGGCAAGACTGAATGACTTCACACATACTTTGAATCCTTCTTCCCAGCATATCCAGAGAGCTCCTCTGGTCAGGAAACATCCAACGGCTTGTCGAGCGAGATGGTGAATCCATCCTTCTGAAACCAGCTGACGCATGATGGCATCTATCCATGGGAAACCAGTCTTGCCCTAAACAAATTGTACTACTGAAATCACAACCATCACAGGCACCAACCTCCATGAATAAACACAGCTACATATATGCTGAAACAAAGCTAAGTTTTACAATTTTCACAAACTTTGTAATGTTTTCAAGGTACATGTAATGAAAGTTTTTATCTTTATCACATAAAAGATGATTTCTAGTCCACACTGAAAATGTCAGCTAATTGATCAGAAACTTTTCATTTATTGCAGCCTAAGTTTTATATCAACTCTTACCTGTTTAAATCGCTCCAGTTGATCAGCATGTTCTTCCCATGGAAATTGTAAACAAAGGGAGTTGTTTCTCATCTTGTCAAAGTTGGGGTGTCTGCTAGCCACAACAAAAAAGAACTCTCGCCACAGGAGTGGCTGGTGAACTGACAAAGGGGCAGATTTGCCATGCGCCTAGAAAACAATCACAGACCCATAAAAATGCATTTAAAAATAAATTAGAAACAGACAACAGTACAAGCAACAAGGATTCCAGTATTACTTGACTTGCCCGATTTTACAGCAATGTTGCACTATCTCTATGTTGTGGCATCACTGTTTAGCATTACTGGTGTATAACAGCTGAGCACAGTTACAACATTTGAAGCGTTGTTCATGCTTCTCACAAAGGCCGATATTCATTGACAATTGGAAATATTTTGAAATGATATTGGAATAGTTTTCAATGCACAAAAAAGGGATGAAAGCATTCTGTGTTCAAACATGCATATGTTGAAAGCCTTGAAAAAAAAATACAATGGTACAATGCTACAATGCTACAGTATTATCCTTAAAAAGCCTTGATTTTGGTAAGCTGATTAATACTTTCCCACAAAAAAAAACCTTCAGGTGTAACAATAGCAAAAGGTTTCACCTTTGTCAAACTACACAAAGGGTGCATCTTAAATTTTACTTGCTCATATTATGTGCACTTTCCCTAAAAAAACTTGTTACTTTATACATAACACGCTAGTTCTCGACTGTCAGTAAACAAACGGCTGACAGTCAGCTGACAAACAGCCGGCAGGTTGTTTTGGGAGCTGTTCTTCACGATTACCGAGTTCACAGCATGTAGGGTGTACATGTAAAAGTCTGAAATCTGCCTTTTGCATTTCAAAAGTTTGCAAATTGACACCATTATAGCATGATTTTATGCTTTCAATGTGAAGATCTCTCAAAGATCCTTTTGGTGTCCAAATTTGAAATAAATTGGCCAAATATTAAGCTTATTATAACATTTTGTGCCATATGGCACTATTGGTACTTGAAGGGTTATAGCAGAACTTCTCAAGTTTAAGTCTTAGCACACATTGCAATGTCAAACCCGCATTTTATACCAAAACTCACCTCCTTGTAAACCTGGTTCATTCTGTGAAAGAGGTATTTCACTGACAGACATCCAAATCGCAAATAAGGACTTAACTTTGAAGACTTAGGAAACGGTGAATTTGTCTCTTGTTGAGCACAGTATGCAACAGGTTCTACAACCTGTAATAGAAAAGTACCTACATGTAAGACAAGAACTAATGGTATTTTACACGTACTATGTTTCTTAGTTCTCAAGAAGCTAAATGCGATCCAAGGAGAGTACAACATGCCACCTGACGGGGTGTAGAAAAAATATCCAAAAAAGCAGATATTTTCGGAGGAGAAATGTGGAAAGATGTGTCAATTTACATGTATGTGCAAAACACAATAGATTATGCAGAAAGTTCATCAGTTAACAACATCAATAACAAAGCCTTTCCTGTGTAATGAACAACAGTGAAACAAAAAGCACTTCAGAGACTTACCCACAATTTAAGCTCTTTAACAGAATAAACTTACTAAACATCATACCCGCCAAATTTGACAATTTATACTTGATCTGTTTTTGAGTTATTTATTTTTGTAAAAAAAATACCTCTTAGACGGCGCATCGAGTATGTTATGGACGGGTCAATGGATGAGTGAGTGAGTGAGTGAGTGAGTGAGTGAGTGAGTGCGTGAGTGCGTGAGTGCGTGCATGAGTGAGTGAGTGCGTGAGCGAGCGAGCGAGCGAGCGAGTGAGAGATTTATGTATGTCGCACCAATCAGATTGGATCTACTATAAACAGCCAATCAAATTTCTTGTTGTAAAGGTAAA